CAAAGTTTCTATAAAAAGCTGTGACAGTTTGGTTTCCTTTCCTAAATAACCGAAGGGAAGATGATGCCTTCTCAGTTGTTACACTTCTTAGATGCATCTAGTCACCCATATTTTGGATTGAATTCCCAGATTAGAACATTTTAATCTAACCCTTGCCTGTGGTGCTAGACTACAAGATGCTCTGTGGTTGCTCTAAGACTCCCCTCTTACAGGGAATAGTTTGAGTCACTGACATCATCATCATCATCATCATCATCATCATCATCATCATCATCATCAATTAGTGGAAATTTCATTTCCAGTTTTAGCACACTCTGTTCCAAGGGTTGTTGATAAATGTTTCCAGTAACTGTTTGATTTAAGTGATGTGTCAGAAAAAAAACTTTGTGGCCTCAGAGTTCCTTGCTCCTAGTTACAGTGATTTTTGGCACGTGGGTAGAATCCGTGGCAACACAAACACAGAGCAAACCGTGGTCCTCTTTTGCAGAAACCTTGTTGTTTCTCTGCAGATAACTTTGACTCTGTGATGCTGAGCAAGAGGACATTTAAGCATGCTTAGAACTTTGTTTTGTTGTCTCTTTATTTGACAATAATTGTTTGTTCCCTGTCTCTTAAGAAATATTTTGAAAGCTTGAGCAACCCTGTGGAAATCTAAGAAAAGTATGCAGCCTTAGAAATGAGCCATTTAATTTTTTCTACTGAAATTGGGTATTATCAGCTTATCAGCCAAGATATAATGCACACAAATTATATTAAGAACACACAGTTCTAATGGTAATATAAGGAAAGAATTCTGGTGGGAATTATTCACTTATGTCTTAAGTGTCTGCTCCACTATTTACATTGTCTTGTGGGAAGTCATGCCATCTGGGATTTTTTTTTATTATTATTTTTTATGTTATAATGGTCTTAAAAGCAATGTACATATGCTTTGATTTCACATTAGAAGTACTTTCTGAGTGTCTACACTGGAGACAAACAGGTTTTTTATTTTTTAATAATATCAAAGTTGGAGTTAATATAAAATCTCATTTGAAATAATATTTACTTCTCTTTCAGCCTGATTTCCTAGGGAAAGGAGGATTGCATAATTATTCATCTGTTGTTGTCCAGTTTCAACCTATGTGAAAAAAGTAAACATAAATTAAGTAGTGTTAAAAATCAGCAACTGGAAAGGGAACAAAACATTATATTCTCCTTCCCCTCTACCCTGCCCTCATAAGACCACATCTGGAGTATTGTGTCCAGTTCTGGAGGGACAGGGATATACTGGAAAGAGTCCAATAGAGGCTACAAGGATGATTAAGGAACATCTGTCATATAAGGAAAGGCTGAGAGACCTGGGGCTCTTTAGACTTGAGAAAAGAAGACCAAGAAGGGATCTTATTAATGTCTATAAACATCTGAAGGGTGGATATCAAGAAGGAGGGGACAATCTCTTTTCAGTGGTGCCTGTGACAGGACGAGGGGAAATGGCACCAAGATACAACACGGGAAGTTCCACCTCAACATGAGGAAGAACTTCTTTACTGTGAGGGTGATAGAGCCCTGGGACAGGCTGCCCAGAGAGGTTGTGGAGTCTCCTTCTCTGGAGACTTTCAAGACACGTCTGGACATGTTCCTGGTGCAGCAGGGGGGTTGGACTCGATCTTCAGAGGTCCCTTCCAGCCCCTATGTTTCTGTGACTCTATGATACTCAGACTTTTTGTTCACACAAAAAGCTGGGCAAGTGCAATTCAGCCTTCTCTTTGCCACTGACTGGCTGGTGGGGCAACACATGTGTAGAGTCCTGACAACCCAGAGCACATTCCAAATGGGAAGTGTCATGAAGAAAATATGATGAAGTGGGTTTTCAGGCACTATAGTAGCAAGATAGGTGAAAATTAGGTGGTTGAAAAGAAACATATTAATTCAGCTGCACAGATGTTATTTTTTATTGTATGAATAAATAAAATTGTGATTTATAACAAACTTACATATAGAAACTACTGAAAGTTTATGATGCATTTAGAGAATGCTACATATTAAAAAAGAAAAAACTTACATGCAGAGGTTTCTTTGACAAAGGATAACAGCATAAAGAAAGCTAACTCAGTAGCTTGTCTTAAAATATGACTTTTTGCTTGGCATAGTCACAACATTATTCCAAGTAGTATATCAATGGGATTAAACAGCTGGACTGGTTTATTTGAAATGCTTGTAGCAAGTCTACCCAGCAGAACACATGACATTTTGGAGATATCCAAGCTGGTCTGAAGTTAGTAAAACTGCATAAGAGCAGGGCAGCCCCGTGCAGTTGCAGCAGCTTGGGTCTGGAGTGATCAGCACGGTGCAGTCTAACCCAATTAGAGCTCTGAGCAAGACTCATCAGCTGGTACATGACAGTGTGCAGACACAGCTACATTGCTTCTGCCCATGGGAACTCAGGTTTAGCTGTTTCTGCAGTGCTTGTTTTCCATAGCCTTTTCAAGTCCTTTAAAACACACAAGTGTTTGTCTCCTGGATTGGATTAAGTATCATCTCTGAATTTCACTTCATTATTTTTCAGTAGACAATGTTAGGTGGTGTAATCACCCATTTCCTACAAGGATGAAGGTGATAGCAAGTGATGCATTTTTTTTTCCTGTTGCTTAGAATAACATTCTGTTAGTTCACAACAATTTTTAAGATTGTGGCTTACTCAAAAACATTCCAATAACCATTTTGAATCAGTCAGTTTTTCTGAGAGCCTCAGCATTTTATATAAAGTTTGCTTCTAGATTCTAGTTGATTAATTATTGATATTCTTATCACAATTAGGATTCACTTCTGATGTTCTAATAATGCTTGCAGTGTAGTTATTAGGATAAATATTTAGATTTTAGTTTTAATGACAGGTCCAGCTTCTTCTTCCTCCATCTAGAACCATATTGTTTTGCAAGTAACATTTGAAATACAAATGCATTATTGTCTTTTCCTAGTGATGAGTGAAAAGACTATTTTTGTCTGTGGCTGGGATTGTTTCAAAAAATTATGGGCTGATATATAGTTCATCCTTAAGAATCTTGAGTTAGTTACCAAGTACCATGTTAAATAAGACACTTGTTGCTGGAATTAAACAGGAATGATGTGTCCAGGCACCTGCATGTTTAATTTCTTATACAAAAGAGTGTTTTGCTTTTGCCACCAAAGGCAGCAATAGGGAAGGATATCCAAACAGTGTGGAATGGTGAATAAGAAGGGCAAGTGAGGAGACTGGGCAGTAAAATCATAGCAATGAGGGTCAGAAAGGGAAACGTGAGGTTCAACAAGGCCAAGTGTCAGGTCCTGCACTTGGGTCACAACAACCCCAGGCAACACTCCAGGCTTCAGGCAGAGTGGCTGGAAAACGCCCAGAGGAAAAGGACCTGAAGGTGTTAGCTGACAGCAGCTGAATATGAGCCAACCTGTGCCCAGGTGGCCAAGAAGGCCACCAACATTCTGGGTTGTGTCAGCAATAGTTTGTTCATCAGGACCAGGAAGTGATCTTAGATCTCTGCTCAGCACTGGTGAAGCTGCATTTTAAATCCTGGGGTCAGTTTTGGACTCCTCACAGAAAGAAGGACATTGAGGGGCTGGAATGTGTCCAGAGAAGGACAATGAAGCTGGAGAAGAATCAGGAGCATAAGTCTTATGAGGAATGTGTGAGAGAAGTGGGGGTGTTCAATCTGGAGAAAAGGAAGCTGCAGGGAGACCTTCTGGCTCTGCAACTGCCTGAAAGGAAGTTGGAGTGAGGTGGGGTTTGGTCTCTTCTCCCCAGTAACAAGTAATAGGATGAGAGGAAATGGGCTCAGGTTGTGCCAGGGGAGGTTTAGTTTGGGTATTAGGAACAATTCCTTCTCCAAAAGGCTTGTCAGGCCCTGGAACAGGCTGTCCAGAGCAGTGGTGGAGTTCCCATCACTGAAGGGATTTAAAATACTTTTAGATACAGCACTTAGGGACATGGCTTAGTTTACAGTGTTAGATGAGTACTTCTACTCTGTGATCTTTGAAGGTCTTTTCCAACATAGGTGATTATACAACTGGGGAAAAAAAAATATTAAAAAAAAAATATTTCATAGTATTGATAGGTCTTCTAGGTGGAGGAACCTGAGCAAGAAGGTGAGCAGGAGTGAAGGAGAAAGATGTCTCATAGAATCTGATGAGTTGGAAGGGACCCATCAGGATCATCAAGTCCAACTCCTGTCCCTGTATAGGACACCCCAAAAATCACACCATGTGCCTGAGAGCATCATCCAAATGCCTCTTGAACCCAGGCAGGCTTAGTGCTGGGACCACTTCCCTGGGGAGCTTGTTCCAGTGTTCAACCACCCTCTGGGTGAAAAACCTTTTCCTGATATCCAACGTAAACCTCCCCTGATTCAGCTTCCTGACATTTCCCCAAGTCCTGTCACTGGTCACAGTGAGAGACCAGGACCTGCCCTATCTCTTCCCCTTTTTTTTGGCTTAAGCCCTGGTTGCCCAAAAGACAGCCTCTTCTAGGCAGAGACAATAGAAAAATTCCCTCGTAAAGGAATTCCCTGTCTTGCTATAGAGAAATTCCCTTTTAAAGCCTGTCAGTTGTGTAGATGGAAGGCAGAATTGTAGAGAGATGTGTTTGGGTTGATATGGTGAGGTGGTCTGTCCTGTCCTCCTACCAGGGCAGGGAAGCTGTGTATTTCTCTAACACACATTGCTGTTTTTCTTATGTTGTGTTGGTTGCTGCTTAGTGTTTTGGTTTGTTCCTTTTGCATTGTTCCAAGTGGCTGCTCTACAAGAACAGGTTGGGAATAAAGAAGAAAAGGCAGAGAGTGTTCAGGCAGTTCCTGGATGTCTTAAAAAATATTTTCCTCAGGCAATTCAATATTAATTCAATATTAGCCTTTTTTTTTTTTCTTTTTTTTTTTTCTCACAGCAGTGAGTTTATTTAGTGAATTGTTTATACTTTCTGGAAAAAAAAGTGTAAAACCTGTCTTTAATGCCATTTGTTGTTACAATTCCAGGAGAAACCATGCGAATCGCCTCGTCCGAGTTTGCTGACGACCCCTGCTCCTCGGTGAAACGGGGCACCATGGTGCGGGCTGCTCGGGCCCTGCTTTCTGCTGTCACCCGCCTGCTCATCCTGGCTGATATGGCTGATGTCATGAGGCTTCTGTCACACCTGAAAATTGTATGCATTTTAACTTGGTGTATTGGTTTTGCATCTATTGTGTGTAGAAAAATCGGGAACAAATCAGTAATGGTTGTCGCTGTTCACGTTTCTTGCTGTTTCACTCAGTGCTGATAAGGAGGTAGGAGATAACACATTTCTACTTTAGCCTCATTCATGTTCTGATTTTGCAGAAATTAGGCTTTGGAGACTTAGAGTAAAAATTTTCAAATATCTTCAGTGACTTGGACTAGTGCTGTTAATCATTTCCTAAACTCACCTTGCATCTTATCCCTGCGGTTTGCTAACTCAGTACTTGTAAAGTATTGCTATCTTGTGGCACAGTGGAGGTACTGCAGTGTTTTTCTCTGCGTGACTTCTGCATGTATCAGGAGAGTGAATCTTTAATTTAGAGTGAGACAGTAGTAAGAGTGTCTAATCAATCATCAAAGAGGAATATCAAAATAAAGAGGAATTAAAGATTACCATTTTGGCATGGATTTGCTTTGGCTGTCATCATTCATGTTTTTATGCAAGAGTATTAAAATTCTGGGCAGTCAAAACCAGGAAATTGATTTATTTTTATTTTTATTTTTATTTTTTTTTTGCTAGGTATTGGAATATTTCTCTTTTATTGCATAAACAAAATGAAGCAAAATAAAATTTTGCAGAAACTCGTATACAGAATATATAAAGCCTGCAAAGTCCCTGTGTGAGTTTAGCTGTCAAAAACATATTACATATTTTCTTTTTAATTTTTTTTTTCTTCTTTTAATTTGTCTTTTTAACAGTGTACCTATACAAAAATACTATGTTCTGGACAAAGAATTAGAACCTTTCAGTTTGCAAACTGTGCAGAGAAGCTAAATAGTTTGAAAGCAATTTTCATCATGGGAAAGGCAGAATTTTCTGTGCAGCTTCTAGTGAGCTCTGCTGTCATGAGCAGAGTGCTGCTCTCGTAGTTGTCAGCATGTGGCTCTGATTATCTGCAGTGTAGGCATTGTCTATCTCAAATATGCTTTTAATTTTTCCCTTCTATAATACTCCATGCCACTGTAATTCAAGTAATCCTTTGACTGGGAGACTAACACTTTAATATTATAAACAATAGATTTTTCTAAACATCATGATTAAAATTCAGATTCAAGCTCTTTCGTAGATGATGAGAAATACTGTTCTCACATCTGAGAGCTCTTCCTTCCATTAGAGCAGTGTACTGTGATACAAACTTCCAACACTGTTTTGTAAGTGGGTGTATTTACTTGCCCTTGATTTGCAAGGGCAATGTGTGGCACCATGGTTTGTAATCTCTGCATTTGTCAGATGCTATTATGAATCTTGTTTCTAAGAAGCCAGACATCCCTGGTTGCTTTTAGCAAAATTCAACTTAAGTACTTTAAATTTGACTTTTTATTTTAAGGTTAAAAAGGGTAATTTATCACTGCATGATATTTATCTTACTGTTTTATACAGCACCTAGTTTTAGATTAATAAAAATTCAATTACTGGGGAAAAAAACCCACAACTGTTTATCTTTTACAAAACTGGTGAAAGAACAGCTCTTGTAAGACTCAGAGGTAACATTCAAAGACTGTTTTAAATTAACCATAAAATTAATAAACTGAAATCATTCTGTGTGTTAAAGTTATCAAGCTGATTTATACTGAAATGTACTGTAATCGGTCTTCAGTGAAAGCATGTCAGAGGACTGAGTTATGCTTCAGATTTCCCAAGAAAGAGTGCATTTTAATTAATGTTTTAGAGCAAATATATGCAGATGCTTTCTGGAAGGACACTTGGTCATTTCTTTCAGGATATCTTCTGCATTACTTAAATGAGTAGTAATGTTTATTGCAGTGAACCTTGTGTAACACTCATTAAATAACATATACTAATAAACTATGTCATCGTGCATATGCAGAATTATGGGTCTATTTTTATTAATTGCATTCTAGTTAATCAGAGGAACACATCTGTACGACTGAGTCAGATTTTGTTCTGTTGAGGATAGGAAACTTGCTCCAACATGAATTTGTGAAAGAAATTACAATTTAAAAAAGGGGTTGTGCTCATGTTCTCTCTAATATTTTTCATTACCACTTTCTTCATTTTGGACTTTCACAGGCTTGTGATCAGCATCATTTGAAATCTGATTATCAAAGTGGAATCTGTAACAATTTCTCCAGCAATGTTATTTAATAGGGAGCTGCAGGCCTTACAGAAATGTGGATCAGTTTGTCATGCCTGTGCTTCTCATTGTAAACACCTTAAAGTTTCCGGTAGTTTAGTATAAATGCTTCTTGATCTGAAAGAAAGATATTCATATTTTGCTGGGAAACCTGCAAGAACAAGTTAGTTAATATAATGATGCTTTTATGATTTGTGCATGTTGGTTAAAAAAGATCAGCTTAAGAGTAAATGGAGAGGTAATTTCTGAATAAGGTGAAGCTTGCGACTTTCAGTATATAATTTCCAACATAATAGCTATGGATTTATGTCCTTGAATCATACATTTTCCTTTAGAAATGTAATTTGTAATGTAGAACTACAATTTGTGGATATTTTTCCATCCGCATTAAGTAAGTAAAAACTCACAATAAAAATATCCTCTCTTGCTGATAGGAAGGTAAAGTTAGAATAGCACATATATTAAAGAGGCAGGTTCTGCACAGAATTGTGTCTTTCCAAATTCATTAGTCTCCAGCTACTGCTGGATTCCCAGTGCTGGTTGGAGAGTGAGCTGCCAGGCTCTGCTCTTGCACAGGAACACGTCCCCATCGGAATCGGCTGTTTCTCTTCAAGGGGAAAATTGGTCTGTTGTAGGAAGCTTCTGCACATTCCTGTGAATTGAAGCAATAGGTTTTAGAAAGAAGGATGAATAGAAGCTTTTCAGTTCTCAATCTGTCTGCTTGATACTGGGTTTTCATGTGGTGAGGGAGAGAAATACGATTTCGATTTTTTACCAGGTCAGAGGAAACTTTCCTTTGCTTATTGTATGAAAGGAGTATTTTATTCCTTTGGATGTTTTGCTTGCTATATAAGAGGTAAAATTTCACCATAGATTTGTTAGATTAACGTGTTAGTATTACTGGGTTTTTATATCTTGACCTGATAGCTACAGCAGGCCAAGTAACTGCAGGAATGTTTTCTATGGTTGATTCTTTTCCCAATTTTAATGTAACTGAAAAAGGAAAGCTGAGAGCTGAGGAAAAAGAAATAGTAATATATTCTGGTTTGAATCTGTTGCTGCTTCATTTATTTCACAAAGATTCAGTATTTTGTATATGTTGGGGTAAATTTAAAATGTAACATCAGAAATAAACTTCTTTCATGTGAGAGTGACAGAGCCCTGGGACAGGCTGCCCAGGGAGGTTGTGGAGTCTCCTTCACTGGAGACATTCAAACCCGCCTGGACACGTTCCTGGGTGATCCTGCTCTGGCAGGGGGATTGGACTAGATGATATTTTGACGTCCCTTCTAACCCCTAGGATTCTGTGATTCTGTGATTCTGTAATTATAGGTTTGAGTTTCCTTTTTAACAGATATGTCTTGTCCAGAATTAATAACTTCCATTTGTTTTCCCATAAAGCTGGTACCACAGGCCTGTACCATTCTGATCACAGAGTCACAGAATGGTTGGGGTTGGAAGGAACCTCGAAAGATCATCTAGTCCAACCCCCCTGCCAGAGCAGGATCTCCTAGGGCAGGTCACACAGGAACGCATTCAGGCAGGTTTTGAATGTCTCCAGAGGAAACTCCATAACCTCTCTTGGCAGCTTCTTCCACTGTTCTGTCCCCCTCACAGTGAAAAAGGTTTTCCTCATGTTTACGTGGAACCTCCTATGTTCCAGTTTGCACCCATTGCCCCTTGTCCTATTACTGGACACCACTGAAAAAAGCCTGACACTCCCCCTTAACATATTTGTAAATATTGAGGAGGTAGCCCCTCAGTCTCCTCTTCTCCAAGCTAAAGAGACCCAGCTCCCTCGGCCTTTCCTTAAGAATATGTTAATCTATTTTGTTTTAGATCCCACAGATTTTAAACTTTTCATCTGATAAATGTGAGTGGGGAAATTAATGCTTTTTGCATTAGTTTTACATGATACCAAAGTACAGTAAATGGACAGTAATGCAGAATGACAGTCAGGCAGATTCTCCATTAAGAAACCTAATTAAAGTTTGTGGGACCATCATAAGGCCCCTGTACAGTGATGGACATAAAAGCCAAATTGTGTCTATATAGCAGAGAGTACTGGGTAGAGTATTTATAGACTTTATCAAAGAGTGCACCCGGATTGAAATGCTAACACAATTGATATGTTCTTTTCTAGGTAGAGGAAGCACTAGAAGCAGTGAAAAATGCAACAAATGAGCAAGATTTAGCAAATCGCTTTAAAGAATTTGGAAAGGAGATGGTGAAACTGAACTATGTTGCTGCTCGAAGGCAACAGGTGAGTGCATTTGGAAGCAGTGCTGGAGAAAGTAAGTATTGGTTCTAAAGATCTGGTATTTTGTGTTCCATTCTGGTTCAAAATGTACTGTAAGTAATTGCTGTGTCGTGGCCTATAATTTAATCACATTGATTTTTTTTTGAATGGGATGAAGTTTTTAAAAAAATGCAATTTCTCTAAGAATATGTTCCAAGTGGCTTCAGTTAATAACAGAATGAAGAGTGAAAAGGCAAGTGATTCAGGAAGTTAAGTTTTCATTTGATGATTATTCCCATTTAATTCTAACCTAAGGTGATTTGAGGCCACTTGGAGAGTTGTCTGGTGTAATTCAAATTCAGAAGCAACAGAAATCTACTTTGTGCTTAGAAACTCTTATTAATTTTCACATACTTAAAAAGAAATAAATTACTCAATTCATTCATTACTAAGGCACATGGAAAAAATACCAGAAAGTCACTATAACATTTATTCGATGCCTGCAATTATACAACTTTACAATAAAGATTAACTTCCTACTTTCTAATTGTTTTAAGAGTCCAGACAGTGCTTTCACAGTGGAATTGTATAGGATTTCTGCACAATCCATTGTATTGGAATACCACCAATCATTCAGGGGTGTAGTCTTTGTATAGCACAGCACATCAGATTTAGAAAGCTGGTTTTCCATATTTGTCCTTCTGTTTCTTTATTTTTTGCATTACAGTCATCACAATTTACTTCAGTGTCACTGTTGTATTTCTTAATGAAATATGACATTTTCAGAGTTATACTGAAATTAAATGCATCTAAATTATGAAATCCAGTCACTGTATTCTGTATGTTCAGACACTTCCCTTGTGGAAGTAGAAAAAGCTAATAAAGATTTATGTCTCTTACAGTCTTGTTGGAGGAATGGAAAGATAGGAGAAAATTTAGCATAACCCTTTTAAAATTTTCTTCTTAAGGGTCATTTTTATAATGCCAGTGAAGTATTCCATATCATTGCAGAAAATCTTGACAGCATTAAAAGGCACTGCTTAGATGTTCATAGATTTTCTTTTAATCTCTTCTGTGTTGTAGCCTGACAAAGCTTTTAGGAACATAATTCTCTCTGAAAACTTTTATCTGTCAATCACATGTGGTTGAAATTGGTCAATGGGCAAACCCCCTAAATCCAGAATATCGGGTTTCTTTTTTAATATTTTTTTTTTTTGCCACAGATTCTATGTGTAAATGAACTGTTCAGCTCACTAAACTTATTTGTCCATAGTTCTAAAATAGAAGCAACTAGGACTACCTTATCTAATGTTCAAAAGACTTTAAAGGACACGGTGATACATCCTGTAAATAAATAAATGGTTTAGTTACATAGTAATAATGCAGTGTCATCTGATTCTGGTAACATATTGGACAGTATCTGGTGCTTATTTTCAGGGGACCAAAAGAAAGTATATGTCATTGAAGCAAATACCTAAGGATATGAGTAATAGAACAGAACAGGAAGGGAAGGCTAAAAATAATGAGCAGTATATTAATTAGGTCTTTAAGAATTAGAAACATATTCATCAATGTAATATTTTAATTTAGATTTACTTTTTAAAGGGCTATGTTATGATGATTTTATACAGCACATAGGTATAGCACTTAGAAAAACTATGGCTCTTGCTGCAACAGGATTGTTGTGCTCCCATTGCCCTTATGGAATTAGCAGGCTGAATCCAGTCAATTAGGCAGAGTAATTTTGAATGTTTTATATAAATTCTCTGCAGGTCTTTGAATAAGAGCTGTAGTTACAGAGAAAGAATGGACTTTCTTGGGCAGGAGGGGCATTCCTTGCTGTCATTTTTGGTAGATTCTGTCATTGATGCCATCTCTGCAAAATCATTGCATGATGTTGACACTTAAGCTGGGTAGGCAATACATTCTAACAGGAAAACTTTCATTTACATCTGTAAAAATGGTGTTTGTTTTTGTTTGGTTGGTTTTTTTGTAGGAGCTGAAGGATCCTCACTGCAGAGATGAGATGGCTGCAGCTCGAGGTGCCCTGAAGAAGAATGCCACTATGCTGTACACTGCATCCCAGGCCTTTCTCCGTCACCCTGATGTTGCAGCCACCAGGGCCAACAGAGACTATGTCTTCAAGCAAGTACAAGAAGCAATTGCTGGTATCTCCAATGCTGCCCAGGCCACCTCACCCACTGATGAGAACAAGGGGCACACTGGCATAGGAGAGCTGGCAGCTGCATTAAATGAATTTGATGTAAGTATCAGAAGTGTATGAAAAATGAAATGTTTCTCCATGCAATCGACAGTGCTTTTAACTAAGTGGTCATTGATCAGGACTGAAATTTTCCCTTTCATCCAGGTCCCTTCCCTCAGGCTGCAGAAACAAAGTGCAGACATTGATTTGTATTATTTTTAATGAGGAGTAGATGGTGTCTGTTAATGGACTTGAATTATGAGGAGTTATTTGTGCACATATGCAGTGGGTATGACAGAGAGAAAGAAGTCCTCTTTTGCCCTAGTATCCTTGAAAAATTTAGGTGCTTAATTCTAAATAATGCAAAGTTTGATTAATCTGGCAGTTCAGTTCTATGACCAAGATCTGTGGTTGATTGAGTGGAAAAATCATGTTTGTCTGTCAAGTGAGGAAGTCAACACAATAAATATGGTGGTGGAGCTGAGCAACCTGGAAACTTTAACATTCAACTAGATTCATGAGTTATGTTTATCAAAGATATGGAAAAAACATCTTTCAAACACAGGTGATACCAGTCTCTCCAGCTGCAGGCAAAGTGCTGTAGCCTCTAATCCAGCAATAGCTACAGTTTTGCTTAAGTAACTTTCTTAACAGCTGTCTAAGTCTTATATCTTGTCATACATATATTTCCTTACTAGTCCCATTTAATGATTTTTCTGTATCACACACATAAGGGCTGTTCTTTAGAAAGTGGAAAAATAGCTTAATGTCAGACAGTGTCTGAAATATCTTCCTCTTTCATTCTGATTTCAGGCAAGTGTTTGTTAAAATTATTATTATTAGGGTCTGGTGTCCTTTTCATTTTGATTAATACACAAGGTTGCAATACAAGCATCTGTCACACACCATCAGGAGCTTCTCAGTCCTGCTGCATTTAGGGCTGACAGTAGAGGTGTTGTGCAGGTTGTTCATCTCGTGTCATATTGGACTGGGCTTATCTTCTGCATCTGTGGTTTATGGTCATTGGGTCTGCTTTGGAGACCCTAGTAGAAAGGCTGGATATTATTATAGGATCAAAGGAAGCTCCAGGATAGAGTAAAATGCTGAAAAAAAAAGGCAGAGAATAAGTATACAAATAATCACAAAATGGAATGTGGTTAGAGGTGGAGAAATGACAGCATGTGTGGGTAGGTGTAGGAAGACACAAGTAAGGAGGGTAAAACCAAAAATGGAATGTGGTTAGAGGTGGAGAAATGAATGGGTAGGTGTAGGAAGACACAAGTAAAGAGGGTAAAACCGTTCAGAACTGCAGTTGAACCACATGACACAGCAATGGCTCTATGAATTTTTTTAAAAATATCTATATCTCTAGATGTATAGTTTTTTCTTGTAAAATTATTGTGGTTCCAGATTTAAGGAATTCCACATGGTTCTCAGGGCCTTCTCAGCTCACAGGTCTTACCTTATTGATAGGGTCCTGTCAATAACACCCGTTTGGTCGTTTTTTACTCTGGCTTTTGTGGGGGATTTTGCACGTTGTGAACAGCAGAGGTTTGACAAACAGGAACAAAACATGTGACTTCTCAGTCCCAAACTGATGATGCTGCTGCTCTGGAAAAGGCTGCAGTTCAATGCAAAGAGAGTTGTTGTGCTTAGTTGTCCTGCTTTGGGTGACATTAGTGAAAGTAAATTTAGAGAAGGCTATGTGAGACATCTGATATTGTCCTCTGCCTCTTTCTGAGAATATTTGTTCATCGTTTTCCTCCTCAGGTAAAGTCTGTTCCTATTTATGTGAGGTTGCAGGCATCCACAGTATTGTGTTCTGTTCACAATGACGTGTGGAAAACCAGCCTGGCTTTTTTGAGAATCTTCTCTTTCCAATTTAAAAAAAAAAAAATATGAAAACATAATGAAGAGGCAAAGATTGAAACTACTGTTTTATCAGCTTTCTAACCATATTTTCTGTTTTGCCTCACTGCTTAGCTGTTTGGTGAGATTTATTCACACCTCATTTTGCAGCAGAGACAATATTCCTTCACGCCAGGGAAAGCCAGAATTTATAAGTGGTGGGATGACTCTTATGTTTTGCGAGCAAGAAAGCAAGAAGAATTACCAGACTAGTGAAACTGGGTAAAAATATGGTGGAGAAGAAAGTTTGATTTTTGTGCTGTCACTCTGTTATTCAGCAGGGGAAAGGAAGCTTATATTTTCTACTGAACATAATTTTACTGTATATTTATTTTACAGTATCAGTCACCTTGATTGAGATAAATTTGTGTTTGGTGTGAGTGCATACTAAGCCTTGTATTATATGACAAGATAATTCTTCTTGATTAAAAATAGGTTTGTGGGTTTTTCCATAATAATAATTCACACCTCTCAGGCTTCATTATTTCAAATTTCAGGATCAGCATTCTGTGCCTTCCTGCTTCAAATGCACTGTAAATCATCTGAATGCTTTATCAATCAAACTATCATCACGTGTAATATGAATAATTATTCTACCTATTTTAAGCACTTTGACTATGGTAGTTAAATAGGTTTCAAGCTGATTGCCAAACTCTAAACAATGGTGACTTGTGGTATAAAGTCACCTGTGAGTTATTAGCAGCACCATTTTGGATAGAGTTATCATTTATTGATTGTTAAAGAGAATCTAGGTAGAAATGAAGAGAGTTCAGTAATCTGTTTCTTATCAGATTTTCTACTTTAAAGTACTGTTTGAAGTTGATTGATTACAAAAATACAAGTTTAATGCCTTGTTTTTTGTCCTTTAACTGTAATGCTCCTGCTTTAATTTCAGATTAATTCCAGATATTCATGGGCTTGTTACTAAAACTTGGCATATATTTGATTCTCATTAAATATTTCTGAGTTCTTACTGCAACTAAAGATGCAACTTTTACCTCTTCTTATAACATTTCCCCAAATTTACTCAGGGAAGTTTGTTAAGAACTTATGGTGTATTCTGGTATTATTCTGTTTTCACTCAGGCAATGGTAGATTTGTTCTGGGAAGGTCTCAGCCATTCTGATTGTCAAGGGACTGCTGAGTTGTCATGTGTTGAGTGTTGTGGGACTGATTCATCTCGTGCCCTCCAGGTAGAAGTATATGTGGGATGTGGATATGAAAATATATTTATATGTGGGTATGAAGTGATGGGATCAGTAGATGGAGAGTCTCTGCCTCAGCCAGGGCTGCAATAGATAGGTGGGGGACACGTTCTGCATGATGGAATGGAGAGGGGGCAGTGACAGGCAGAAATAGTCTGTATTGGGCACTGGGGGTCTCTGAAGAGTAGGAGAGTGCCTCCTTTCAGAGGATGGACTGAGACTGATTTCTTAGTTTCTAGAAATGTAGCTGTGTGGGTGGGGTGAGCTGACAAAACTTTCCAAGTGCTAATCACTGTGGCATTTCAAATTCTAGGGGTTTCAAACAAAGTGCCCTAAAACTCTTAACATTTTAAATGATTAAAAGCATTTTGTGTTAGCTTTTGATATGAAAAATGAGGTAATCACTCTTGTACTTTACTACAAGGATAGGTGTAACAGTTTTGTAAATATAAAAATATTTACTATGCATGCAGTACAGACCCATAAAAAGGAGCATCTCTGTGTTTGGAGCAAGGCTGGGATTGTCTGAAATACATTATGAGTCAGAAAGAGCTTACCAGAACTGATGAATCTCCTTAGTTGACTTTCTGCTTGAGTTTTGTGGTTATATGTATATAACACATTGGCAAGTTCTGTGTCTATCAACAGGATAAAAAGATACTGTGTTTGTTAAAATATATATATGTATGTGTATAAATGTCTTTGCTTTTCAAGACACGTAAATCCAAATTGACAGACCCTGTATTTGATGTTATTTTAATACTACTGTGATTTATTATTTCTGTCTGTCATGCCTTTACTGTCCATCTTCAAAATTGCATGGAATCTTGAATGAATATGAAAATAGTTTGGTTTATGAAGCAACTGATCTGGTTGAGAACTAAAAGAGGTGGTTAAATGCATTTTTGGTACATGAGATGTTTTTATACTTGCTAGAGATCCCGAGGTACTGAAAATATTCTGGTTTTTGTTATGAGAAGGATCTGAACAGAAAAATTCCAGGCAGAGTAACTCAAGCTCTAATAATTTCTCAAATAATGCAAGTCTATAATTGGTGAGATTAATATTTTTTATGAGAAAAAAAGTGTCTGATGACACTGGTCATTGTCTTCCAGGCTTTAAAATTAATTTCATGTTTAATAAATGGACTATCATTGCATATTTCTCAAAGATATTCATAAACTTTTGGCAATATTTTGCCAGGCTAGTGAATGCAAGATCTAACAGGTGTGTAATGAAAAAGAGCCCAGAGAAACTGAAAAGACAAAAAGCTTGGGTACAACAATAGCAAAGGATGCTTTTTTTGTAATAAAATCAGGAGCAGTCAAACTATGACATAAAGGTAACGGAGAGAAGAGATGCTGTATCATTAAGTAACTAACTTTAAAATGTTGCTTTTTGGGTAAATAACTGTCCAAAATGTTCAGCTCGAGAACGGATTTTGCAGAATATTTATGAGACCTCAGTTTACTTTTAAGTATGTTCTTCACAAAAGTGATTTGTGATGCTGGAGACAAAAGGACAAAGTGTGATCTTCGGAATAAGAAATTGTCTTTCATTATCAAAATCATAAGAAACAATTGCAAAAATATTACTACAGGTCCCATGTAGCAACTTGAAGGCAGAGTTGTTGAGCTGTGGTGTCTATGGAATGGTTATTTCTGTATAGCAGCAGTTATATATTGAATTTAAATAGAGACACCCATGTGAATGTGCAGTGGAGAAAGTGTCATGCAGATTAAGATAACCTCATATATGACTGTGAATGACATACAGGGTTTCTTCCTTGTGGAGCTGAATTAGCTTTTAAACCAGAATGTTGTTGAGTCCATCATTTCACCTGTGAAGCAGCAGGATGCATCACCATGCTTCAAAAGCTTCTACCCAGTCATGAGGTCCTTTGACACTGTGCATTCCTCAGATCTCCCCTGACTGGGAAAAAAATCA